AAAAATTTTTTATAAAAAAGTTAAAGAAATCTCTTCCGTTGATGTTGGAATACGTAGTGAAACAATTGGTTCTTATATCTTCTGAACAAGTTTGAAAGTCCTTCCCGTTACAATGCAAATCCAAAAATGATTTCAAAAACGATGCAACAGTTCTAAAAAACAGTTCGATAAAATTCCATTCCTTACTTGATCTATTATTCTCGTCCAAGCTTGAAATCTTTCCAAGAACGTTATAAAAATGGAAATTCAGGTTTGTTGTATATTTTCAGTAGACAGTATTTTTAAGCAAATATATGGATATAAATTTTTTCCGACAGTATGAAAGAAAAAATACAGAAAAATTTAAATGAAAAATTCTTCAAACGAAGTTTCAAAATTCTGAATATGCATTATTAATGTTAAAATAAAAAGTGTCGACGTCGGACGTTTCTGTCTCATTTAAACCATCTTCAAAGGACATTTATTATATTTTTATTAAATAAATAAAAAATTATAAACAAGACGAAAGTAGAATTAAGAACATTATAAAAATGCACAATACCAGCTGACAAAAACATTAGATTAATTATTTCTTACAAAAATTTAAAACCTAGTAATTCACTTCTTAGAAAAAAATTAAATAGGGCAAATATTATTCACGAATTTAAATGCCAGTTAAGGAATTGTATTCCCGATTAATCAAAATACGTAAATAATGATATAGGCTACACTACAACATGTTTGACATGCAGACTCACTCTACACCTTTCTGGCCATAGCTCAATTAGATCTCATTTAAATATTCATGGAGACTTAACAGACACTATTCGTAACATATTTGTTGACAACACAAATATAATAGCATCATCCACATGCAAAAAGGCTAAAAATAATGGAAGCTTTATTAATAAAAACAAACAAACAAACAGTACTTAATAATATTAACTATGAACACGGACACAATATCTTGACCGTTTTTTAAAAAATGAAAACACTATATAAATACATACATGCAACAAACTATTTCTTATTTAACAGTTAAAATATTTAATCCTTGAAAATGGCTAAATGTATAGCCGAAAGAGCTCGGATAAAAAGAACATTCGGCCAGTTTTTATATAATCCATCATCTCAAAAGAAAAAAATTATTAGATCTCATGAGAAATTGTGTAAAAAACTAAATAAAAGCACCTTGTCTGTCGTATTCAATGAAATGTCCCTATATATATATATATATATATATATATATATATATATAATATATATATATATATATATATATATAACAAGACTATTATTCCTAACTTATATTTTACTTCATTCCTATTAGTATTTTTACTTCATTATATATATATATATATATATATATATATATATATATATATATAGTTAAGTAACGAAAAACTTGGTAATCCGTATGGGTAGTCCCAAGGAGGATGAAATCCTGAGAGCTCAATGTAAATTCAGAGCTAATAATTTAAAGAAAAACAGACCACTTTAAGGCTCCATTGCAATAGTTTATTTCACCATAGACATTTTAAAGTACCCTGGATCATCAGACATCACTTCCAAAAGGTGAAACGAAAAATGAAATGAAAATTTACCCTTTTGACGGGTAGTATTAAGTTTATGTAATTTAACAGAGAGTGTAGCGAGGAGCGGTGTGAGAGACATGGTCGGCTTTAGAGAGGGTTTATTTTAATATTTCTTTCTATCTTACTATTGAGGAAGGAGGGACCAGACATTGGCCTATTTAATCGGTCAACTTAACGGAAATGATATATTGAAAGGGAAGGAGAGAAGAGAGAAAAAGAAAAAGAAAAAAGAGAAAGGAGATTTGTTTAGGGTTTACGGAGGAAGAAGAGGGGTGGTATAGTTTTAGCAATTTAGGTAAAAAACAGATTTTAAGGTTTGATAGTAATTTAAATGCTTAAAAAATCCACGAGGAAATTAATTTATATATATATATATATATATATATATATATATATATATATATATATATATATATATATCCCTGCGTTTTCCCGGGGAGCACTTTATTTATTTTTCATACTATTTCTCGAACATTCAGGCCGGTAGACGAAAATAAATAAACATACTGTTTAATAACTAAACTAATAATTTAATAACTCAAATGCGAGTATCCACTAACAATAACGTTTAAGTAATAAAATCTGTCGGATTAAGAAATGAAAAATCTGTCACTTATATATATATATATGTTTGTGTGTGTGAGATAAAATATAGTTTGAACGTATGCAATATTTATGGGTTAAAGTGCTCAATATCAGTCATTGTCATATATTGTATATACAAGGTGTCCGTAAACTTCGTGTGCACTTTTAAGTTATTAATCGTTTAAAGCGCACATGAACTTTATGGACGTCCTGTATATACAACATATGATAATGACTACATATATATATATATATATATATATATATATATATATATATATATATATATATTTGGTTGGATTGATGTGAGTTTGTGACCCTGGGTTTCACGCTTTAGCGATCGTCAGTGTCTGACGATCGCAAAAGCATGAAACCCAGGGTCAAAACTCACATCTATCCAACCAAATATGTTATCTATCTCTGATATTGAACGCTTTCTAATAAGTACCGCGCATATAATATATAAATAATTATATATATATATATATATATATATATATATATATATATATACATATTTTATACACATTTTTATATATATATATATATATATATATATATATATATATATATATATATATATATATAATAAAAATGACAATAGGAAAACTGGTAATTGCTGACGCGTTTCGTCCAATGTGGACTTTATCAAAGCAAAATACGAAAATGAAATTAAATGAACAATGTAACTAATAAAAACAAAAACGCTATTGTCATATTTTTTAACTGAAAAATAACGTCAGTGATTGTCACGTGTGGAGAATATTGTCATTATATCTGTGTTAATGTATTCAATCATTTTCTTTTGATTTTATGAATCTGTTGTGAATATTTGTTTGTAAGAGCATTAATTTTGTTAAGAAAGGTGAAATAGGGAAAAAGCCTGAGCGTAGATTAATATTTGGGTAATTTTCTATGGCGGCACTCTCCAGAATTTTCTGTTTTTGTTTTTATTAGTTACTTTGTTCATTTAATTTCATTTTCGTATTTTGCTTTGATAAAGTCCACATTGGACGAAACGCGTCAGCAATTACCAGTTTTCCTATTGTCATTTTTATTCATAAATATTGTCTTCTCTACTGGTTAAATCGGAGAAATTTTCATATATATATATATGCCATATGTAGTCATATATAGGATATGAAATCATGTACGGTACTCTTGCTGCTCAGTTTTGGAAGACGGTCTGTTGGAGCCTCAAAAAAAAACCTCGGGAGACTTCATTATATATAAAGATAATATATGAAACATTTGATTAATGGAATATCCCATATACCGAATAGATAAATGCTTAACATTCCTTAACCCATGTAGTAAAATTAGCCGAAACAGAGTGGCGAAAACATATTCTGTTGAGGACATAAGTTTAAATAGATCAACATGGAATAATGTTAATTCAATATTCGATGAACCATTGTTATGCTAAGAATCACTTTGAAGACACAAGTCTGAATAGATCAAAGTAGAAGAATGGTCCTTACCAATGTCACAAATCGCCTAAACATTGTGACAAATATAACCAAATTGACGATAGTTTGAATAGATCAATGTAGGATAATGTTAATTCAACATATTGGAGATCTTTGTATCGTAGGGAATATGAAAATTAAGTTGAGGACACTAGTCTGAACAAATCAATGGAGAATAATGACCAGTGATCAATTGAGAAATACTTGAGCGATTGTATACTAGATTGGCAGCAAGGTTTCATCATTTTACAGTTGAAATGGTCAGATGTAACCGTAAGTTCTATGTTAACAGTTTCTTCACTCGCACTTCTCGCTTGTGGAATTCTCCTTCCGGTTTCCTACTTCCCTGTCAACATGGCTCTCCAAAGATTTATATGCAACGTGAATCATTATCTTCTGTCTTCTTAATTGTTTCTTCCCTTCTTAATATTATATTTTTCTTATATTCTGTAACACTTAGTAACCTCTTGCATCGTGGTGGCTTTATTGCCTTACTTGGCGTAAAATGATTAAAAAAAAGACTATAATACGGACGCTTTACTGAAGAGGAAAATTGAGAAGGATGGACATTCCTCTTCTCAGAAAGTGACTAAACACTGTGGCGGAAAGACTCGGGTATCTATTGAAGCGATAGAATGAGTCCAACATCTTAGGCAATTGTTTTTATGTAAGAAATCCATTAGACACCTGGAGTAAACTTGAGATCCAGTAGCTATAGGAGAGAGGAAGTTGTGGAGAACCATGATCGCCCGCATTCAAAAGGACCTCGACTCATAAAAGAAGAATAAAAAATGATTATCTACTCGACTCAAAAATTAGGACTGACGAAAAAGCATAAAAAGTCAAAAAGAATTATGGAGCATCGTGGATTATATCGAGGATTAACAACTCTTTGGGTCTTTATCCACCGTGTCATGGTAGAGTGGATAAAGGCGTTGGTTAGATCCAGTGAAAGGACCCAAAGATTTGTGAGTTCAGTACCGGGTTAAGGCGGTTTGGAACTTGGAAAGGTGAATTAACAGGGATAACTGATAACTGACATCCATTAGACATGGCACGTGGGACTGGGACAGTCTACATCCGCAAACGAAATAAAGGGTTCAGTTCGACATTGCAACCACCTGAAGAAGGTCAGAGCCTACTACGGCCAAAACGTTGTGATAAATATGGCAACAAAGATGAGGACAATAGTCCCAATAATGTAAATAGTGTACATAATATCTCATCTCAGAAATATAGACAGATACAGCCAAACATAAGTTTGCCAAAAATAGGTGTCGATAAATAATGACTATTAATACTAGTCCTAAATTATTGTAATAGTGATACTGATCCACACTGGAAGTTCATTAGAACCTTCTGAAAAGAAAAGGTTTGTAAATCTATCTATCTATCTATCTATCTATCTATCTATCTATCTATAGACAGCATATCTTCATTCAAGCATATTTGGTTGAATAATCTGGACATATGTCTATTTATTTTTATTTTAATCCTCTCGAATTCTCTGATCGATTTCTTAATGTTGATATTAAATTCATTAAGGAAGGCGCCGTAGTTTTTCGTTTCATTTATTTTCACAAGGACTTTCAGTCTCATCCGAGATCATCTTCAGGGGTGAATTGCTAAAACACAAAAATTAAATGTAATTAATGGTTGTGATTTTTTTGCAAATACTCATGAAACGCACTCTGTTATAATTAATTTAAAAATTATCTGTTAAAGCTATAATGTTTTTTCATGTTTTGATCTAAGGGAGGTAATTTTAATTTACCTAATTATAATTTTTTATATAATTATAATTTTAGCATTTTTAAAATCTTTGCTATTATAAACATTTTAAAACGTTGTTGCTTTACTCATAACTAATCTTATTTAATGTTGGCTTCATGTCCCTTATATAGAGGTCCTCAAGAATATGAAGTTTTTGTTTTTTATTTTCCTGGTGGAGTATACTTATATTATCAATAAATATCGCACAACATTTAAAGACATATTCCCGTCCACTTTCACAATCCAGAAAAATACTAATTGATAATACAAGTATACTCTACATTTTCCTTAATATCATTCCCATTGTTTCAACAGCGATTTTAGTGTTGGTACAGGGCAGCAGTCACAAGGAAGTAACATACTTGAATAATGCGTAGTTATGACAAGGATGCTTGCAAGGTCTTTTTGAATACTACTGTCACAAAATAAACGATCTCCTTCAGTTGCCAATCGCAGCTGATTGAGAATCATCATTGGAGAGCCTGTTCCCGCGTTGACTGTTATGTCTATTCTGTTTAGTTTCTAAGTTTTCTTTCTCTCTAAGAACTGTTACTCTGGGGGAAAGACATCCGCCTAGACATCTCCTTGAACACTGTAATCTTAACATCTTTAAGCCGCGTGTGAATCGTTATCTATTTTTTAATCCTCACTTTTATCTGCTTTTGTTTTCATTCATATCAAGCACCTCATTACAATTTCACTTGTAATACTCCACCCTGAGTGGTTCCTGAGCCTTTTGCTGTGTGTTGGTTTAAGAATACATAATAAGTTAATCTCCTATGTCTGATGCCGAGGGAACAAGATAATATTTGGCATGACCTGCAGACAGGAGTTTTTAAAACATTTTTTAAATCAATTCACAACACGCAAGGCGACACTGCCATTAAGCCGCAGTGGCCTACTGGAAGTAAAAAAGAACAAAAAAACTTGAGGTGGAAATAGAAACCCAATCCTAATCAGGAAATGAGCGATAAGCCTCTACACCTTTTCGAAAGACCAGAGAGGAGTAGTTCCACATTCATTACGACATTAGGTTAACCTAATATCATCACGGGCATCTGTCTATATTTCTGACATGAGGTATTGTAACTATTTAAACTATATGCATTATTCGGCGTGTTGTCCTCATATTCACGACGTTTCGGCCGTTGTATCTTCCGGCCTTCCTCAGGTGATATACGCTGAAATTTCGAAGCGAACCATTTATTTAGTCGACGGGGGCGTTAGAATGTTCTAGTTCTATGCATTTGTATATATCAATTTCAGTTAATTCCACTTGATAACACAACTCTCCAAGTTTTTGTTACTTTCTCTGTGTTCAGGTATTGAACCCACAAAACTTTGGGTCAAGTCAAGTCACTTTTACATCACTCAACCAACACTTTTATCCACTGGGCCATGTGCCCCAGAAATATATCCTGAAGAAGGCTGGAGCGTACAACGTTTGTAAGGTCGTGAATTTGGCAATAAAGATGTTATCCACATGTGGCCGTGGCGATAAAGTTTATTTTTAGTAGAGTGGGTTCGATCCGAATAAGGAGCAATCATAGTTATAGTCTTGTGTCAAACCTGAGCGCCGCTGAGCAAATAATAAATTCTGTTTGAAAGAAAGCAAATCCAAAATAGTAGCTGTCTTAAAAATAAAAAAGGAACCGTGTTTGAGCATTGCTTTTTTTCGCTTTTGCTCATCTGTAAATAATCGTCGATTTATTGTCTCCAGATACCAGCGTCTGACAAATTACGAATTACCTGTTGTCATATTTTTGATTTGCGAGCCATAAAGAAAAGAGAAGATTCATCTTCGAAGAAGAATAGGAAGAGACGACAAGGACATAATTATGGTAAGGCGAGTGAAAAGATTCATTGAATTTTAAATCTACCAAAGGAAGATTCTTGGGAATGAAAACAACCAAAGTTGATCGGGGGAAAAAAAAAACCCAAACAAACCGTATAGCGAAAGATTCTTCCAAGAATTTGAAGTGAATAATATCAAACATTTTAAAACAGAATAAAAATAACGAATACGATGAACCAATAATACATAAAGAATTATGAAGACTGAAAACAAAAATAAAATTGGATATAAGTTTGTAGACGAGAGTATTAAATATACGACATACACATACATACGTACCAATATGTTGTCAACAAAAACCGTGTCTACTATTTTAACAACATTTATTTCTTGGTAAGGACTAAGACGATCGAATATACTCGAAGAAAAACAGAGCAAAAACCTGCAGACAACTTATCCACAATTTCGATAACGATGTACAACTTCGAACATCAGAATGAAAATATATATATATATATATATATATATATATATATATATATATATATATATATATATGAAATATGTGTGAAATGACGATTAAAATATCTTATGAAGTCATTGGGTTACCGTTATCTATGGTGAAGTACATTTTATTTAATGCGACTTGTTGCCTTTGAATGATAATGTCTTCTGGATTGTTATCTTCGAATGTGTATCAAATATTTAATATACATACAAAATAATAATAAGCTTTCCCCCAAAATGCCAGGATGTTAACCAACAGAATCATGTCTATCATACTGAAAATGACTACCAGGGTCGAAACTGCTCGAATAATACGTCATATAAATTGTGTGCAGTTTATCAACAAGTGGGAATATAAAAATTGATTTGAGATATGGGGTGTGGTGTAATGGATAATGAATTCGACTGGAACTCGAACTTGGATCTCTGACTTCACATTCGAAGAATCAAGTTCAATTCCCAGTCGGGTTTATTCCATTCAATTATGCGTAAATAATCCTGTGAATGGTATGAATCCATTTCTTCTTACTTACCCCCCGCCACCTATGACTTGAATAGCAGGACAGATTAGGTCCTATAGCCTTGGTTGGCAGCCAGTCTATCGCAAGAAGATACGGCATATTTTCTGCCTAGTCAATCACGAATCGAAAGAGACATGATAACCAAAGCATATATCACGTATGGTACTTAAATGATTTAAGAATTGATTACAAAATTTAAAATAATACGATAAAAATTAAGCATACATATTTCTTTAATTACGTTATTTGCAGTCACCTGCAGAAGGCCGGAGTATAAAACAACCGGAACGTGATAATAACAATACAATAAGGATATTAGTCTGATGTAAATAAAGTAACTAATGATAGCTTATCCTCCAGAAATTCAGAAAGAAAAAGAATTTATCCAAATGCTTTCTTGATTCTTAAAACGCACACGCACACCTATAAATATATATATATATATATATATATATATATATATATATATATATATATATATATGTGTGTGTGTGTGTGTAAAAGTGAACATTGCCTGACGACTGCGTCCAGCATGAAACAGCCTGTCGCTTCTGAGTGTTGATGTCAATGTTCACTTTTAAATTTATATTTACCACTCTCTATCTCTGATATTGAGCATTTTATCCAATAAATATAGCCCTCATTAAAATTATATATATATATATATATATATATATATATATATATATATATTATGATAATGAAAATGGCCACTTGTATCCGTCTAATAGGGCGGCTACTCAATCCCTGTTGAAGACGCCTGAAACTATGCTGAGCTGACCTTAGTTACAATTTCCGAGGAAGACTGTACTATTTGGCGTGATCGACGGTCTGAACAAGTTTAAAATTTAAATGACAAATGGGTTTAAGGTCTTTGAATGTCACAACCTCTCTTCACGGTGATCGGATATCACTTGTGTGCCACACCTCAGCTACGACTGTTCTTATAATACAACCCAGACGCTGCGACTCGTCCGGCATTTTATAGTCCAATCACAAACAACTTCCGGTTCAAAAGCATACGCGTTCTTCTATATATAAAAAAAAAAAAAAAGTCATCGAACGCAGTAACCGTTTCACTTCTCACAGGATATATGACGACAATCTGGAGTGGAAGTGGTAAGTAAAAATATTTCGTTTCACACACATATATAACACACTCAAACTCATCTATATAACCAATTCTACCCAATGCTAATTCCTTTTATACTGCTTTCATTCATACTAATCAGTCAATAAGCACTGATACGCGCCAGAACAATTTTGTAACCCAGGAGAGGGGTAAAGTAAATTCTAGATTTTAGTCAAAGATTACTCACTTATAAGTATCCTAACTCTGTCCCCTAGTCGAGACTCTATTGTGAAATGTAGTATATATATATATATATATATATATATATATATATATATATATATATATATATATATATATTAGGCAGCATATAATTTATATACAAAGAAATAATCACACATAGAATCAATCAGCAATATCAATGCTATTGTTGGCGACATCCCCAAAAATATAAACTGGAAACAGCAGACAACAGTTTTATAAATGAGGATCACGTCACTCTATGGATTAACAGTATTTTAATGCATACATTATACACTACTAGCGATGGATGTCGCCAATAATAGCATTAATATTGCTGATTGATTCTATGCGTGATTATTTCTTTATATATACTTTTCCATTGTGAAATGTAATATATATATATATATATATATATATATATATATATATATATATATATATATATATATATATATAGATAATATTAGTGGAAAATATACATACATATGAAAAAATATATCTAAAAAATTCCCA